ATATATATATATATATCACCAACACTGCTACACCTACGTACTGGGCTAACTCATTGACTAAAACACAGCTGAAGAATATACACGAGCAGAGAGCTAGCGAGAGGGACAGACAGACGCACCACTCACCTCAACATCTCATCAATGATGCAAACCTTTTAATTAAACATTTAAAAAACTCACCTTTCAACAAACGTCACCCCCCCCCGCAGCATTCAACGCCAAACTTAATTAGATAAAATTTATTAAACTTAATTAGCTTTTCATGAAACTAGCGAAAGCGAAAAAGCAAAAAGCAAAAAAACAAAAAAACGAAAAAGTGAAAAGCGAGAAGCGAGAAGCGAAGTGAAGTGAGTGAGACTGCTAAAGTATTTTACTTTTGCTTGGTTTATGCTGAGTTGTGAGAGATGAGGATGGACGAATAAGGAGGGTTAGACAAATGAGGAGATGAAAGAAGGTTAGGTGAAGGAGGAGAAGGAAGGAAGGCTGTATAAGGAAGAGGAAGACAGGTTAGATGGAGGAGGAGCAAGGGTTAGATGGGGGCAGAGAGGAAGGTTAGATGGAGGAGGAAAGGACGGTTAAATTTATGAAAGAAGAAAGGTTAGGTGGTGGAGGAGAGAAAGGAAGGTTAGATGGGCAATGGAAGAAGGTTAGATAGTGGAGGGGAAGAAAAAAAAGGAGCTAGTAGAAGAGACAGAGTAAGCTTAGATTGGCGAGGAAAGAATGGATGGTTAGATGGTGGAAGAGAAGGAAGGTTAGATAATGAAGAAGAAGCAAGATTATAAGGTGCAAGAGAAGTAAGATGATAGGGTGGAGGAGAAGGAAGGTCAGACGGAGGAGAAGGAAGGTCAGACGGAGGAAAAGGAAGGTCAGACAGAGGAGAAGGAAGGTTAGGCGGAGGAGAAGGAAGGTTAGATAATGAAGAAGAAGCAAGATTATAAGGTCGAAAAATAAGTCTCTGCTTAACCTTCCTTCAAGAAAGATAAGGAGAAGGAAGATTAGAGGCAGAAAGGTAAAGTACTGATATACCAGCACAGGGGTAGAAATTAACTTTTGAACAAGGGAGTCCAACGGACTCCCTGCCCTCAAAAAGAGGGAGTCCGCAGCAAAAAGAGGGAGTCCGCAGTCTGGGGTTTAAAATTAAAGATATTAACAATAACGCATGTGCTTATTTTTAAGATTCATGCGGTTGCACGTCTGCCAAATTTTCTTTGGACATTAACTGAAAAAATACGGTAATTCCGAGAGGCTAGTTAGTATGGCAGAATTTTCAGGGAGTCACACGGACTCCTGCATATGTCAAATCAGGGAGTCCGGCAGTAAATCAGGGAGTATTTGACTCCGGACACCCGCTAATTTCGCACCCTGCCAGCACATGCAGTCTGCTAGCTATCTTACCTTGAGTGCCTTACATCGCGTGGAGTAACCTCTGTACCAACCTGTAACAGAGCAAGCAGTGACGTCATTAGACTGAAGACTGGTGATGTAGTCTCACCAAGGCTCACACACACACACGCACGCACACGCACACAAACGCACGCACGCACGAACGCACACAAGCACACACTCACACACGCACGCACACACACGTATATACGCACGCACGCACTCACGTACGCACACACTCACACACGCACGCACACACGCACACACGCACACAGACGCACGCGCGCGCACGCACGCACGCACGCACGCACGCTCGCACGCACGCTCGAACACACCCACGCACCAAAAGACAGACGATTGCACACGCATGCACACACAAGTGCACAAATGCGTGCAAAAGTGCACGCACGCACGTACGCACGCACACAAGCGATCATTAAACGTAGTGAGTCAATAGTAGAGACTTGGTCGTTTTCCATTCAGTAGACATGGTATTCTTACGGCATACGTCTAATCATCATCATCATCATCATCATCATCATCATCATCATCATCATCATCATCATCATCATCTCTCTCTCTCTCTCTCTCTCTTCTCTCTCCCTCTCTCCTCTCTCTCTCTCTCTCTCTCTCTCTCGCTCTCGCTCTCCGCTCTCGCCTTCGCTCGCGCTCTCGCGTCTCGTCTCTCGCCTTCTCGCTCTCTCTCTCTCTCTCTCTCTCTCTCGCTCTCGCTCTCGCTCGCTCTCTCTCTCTCTCTCTCTCTCTCTCTTCTCTCTCTCTCTCTCTCTCTCTCTCTCTCTCTCTCTCTCTCTCTCTCTCTCTCTCTCTCTTCTCTTCGCTCTCTCTCTCCTCTGCGTCTCTCTCTCTCCTTCGCTCCCTCTCCTCTCTCTCTCTCTACTCTCTCTTCTCTCTCTCTCTCTCTCTCTCTCTCCTCGTAGCTCTCTCCGCTTCTCTCTCTTCTCTCCCTCTTACTTTCTCACTTCACACCAGCCCCTTCTACTTCGCTTCCCTTCCCAACCCCCCTCTTTGTCTTCTTCGCCTTCCCCCTCTCACTTCTCCCTTTCTTTATTCTCCCAGTAGAACTCTTATTTCACGTCGATTTCCGATATACACAACTCCAAACCTCCCATTCATCGACATCCCCCAGATCTCTTACTATTCACTCATATAGAATATCCGTATTATTATTAAACCAATCCCTCTTAAAAACGTTTAGCTACATGCGTTCATTTCTAGAATTTCTAAATCTCTTCACACATCCCCTCCATGCCACCTGTTCCCTCCATGCCAAAGCTTCCACCCCCAATTCTTCCCCTTTATCCCTCTATTTCTATCGCCTTTGTCCCTCTATCTCTATCCCCCTATCCCTCTATCTCTATCGCCCCTATCCCTCTATCTCTATCCCCCCTATCCCTCTATCTCTATCCCCCCTATCCCTCTATCTCTATCCCTCTATCTCTATCCCCCCTATCACTCTATCTCTATCCCCCCTATCCCTCTATCTCAATCCCCCCTATCCCTATCCCCCCTATCACT